GAGAGACTGGGACCCTCCTACAATTCTGGTACAACTGTAAAATGGTTCAATCTCTATGAAATACAGTTTGGTGCCTCCTCATAAAGTTGGAAATAAAAATACTGTATGACTCAGCAATCCCTCTACTTGGTGTACATCCACAAGAAATAAGAGCCAGTACATGGGTAGATATATGCACACCAATGTTCATCGCAGCACTATTCACAATAGCAAAAAGATAGAGACTGCCTAAGTGCCCATCAATGGAAGAATAGATAAGCAAACGTGGGTACATACACACAATGGAATACTATGCTATACTGAATAATAACGATGAATCTGTGAAATACCTTATAACATAGATAAACCTGGATGATATTATGCTGAGTGAAATGAGTCAACCACAAGCAGATATTGTATGAGACCTAAATTGTAAAAAATCAAGAAAAGATTTTTATAACTAAAGAAAAAATTCTTTGATGGGTACCAAGGATGGGAGGAGACACGTTAACTCAGGAGACTGGGAATGCAATATACAAGACGGGGGAGGTCAATATTACTAGAAGAGAGAGGTTGAAGACAGGTGAAAACAGGTATGTAAGGACTAAAGGGGATAGAGATAATGGGATATATACATATTTATTTGTATATTCCACAAGTATATGAGTTTGAAAGAGAGTATTTGTACATGGGTAACCATAGAGAGGAAGCCGGACAATTGCATGGAAGGAACTGCAATCATTGAGATGAAACAAAGTGTATGATTTATTGAATATAACATTTATGATCTTATCTGTAAAGAATCACAATAAAATATATATATATTTACAGCATCAGAAACCCTAAACAGGGTTGCTATGAGTCAGAACCAACACAGTGGCACACAACCACCACCACCAAGGATTCATGGCTTTCAGATTTATTCTGTCAGTTGATGCCAGCCAATATTCTCCCTTAAATGCTCACATTTTCCCAACTTTGACCAGTGGGAGTTCTTTTGGTTGTCACTTATAATTTTTTTTGATTGACACTTTTAATTTTTAAAGATGCTCTGGTGTAGCATAGTGGTTATGAATCAGGCTGCTAACCTGATTAACTGTGCAGTTCAAAACTACCAGCTGTTCCGCTGGAGAAAGCTGAGGCTTTCTGCTCCCGTAAAGATTTACAGCCTCGGAAACCCTGTACAGGGAAGCTATGAGTCGGAACTGACTCCATGGCACACAGCAACAACAATTATTTGCTTTCTTGCTTTCTGACCCAACAAGCTGTTGGTGTTCTAGAATTGTCCTATAGCTCCAGACATAAGATTAGCCATCTTTCCAAGCAATGTTGGCTCTAGGAACTGGGCATTCAGCTCTATCATGGGGTGACATCGCTTTTGGTGGGAAAAAACCCAAGAAGGAAATTATATTTTAAATTAATGTTTTATAAGGATTTGACTTCATATTGATACATCCAATTTAGTTTTCTAACAGAACATTATTCCTATTTATATTGTTATGTATACAATTGTTTCTTCTTCTCAGCAATCCTGAAATCTAGGTTCCTATCAAAATAAACATAATTGTGTACTTGCTTTATCTGACTATTATAAGAGGATAGTTTCAAAAAATAGTATTCTGCCATACAGAGTACAAATGCTTACTAAAATTTCTGTATCAGACTGTAAACTCCTATGAATTTTTAGCCAAATTATTTTTTCTAGAATCACTCAACTCTAACACCATGTGGCTATGTGAGAACTCAACCAGGCAGTTTCAGTTCAGATGTTTCCATTCTCTTTCATTTTTATGAGGCTGCAACTTGTTCCCATTCCTGTCTTTGCTCAACCTGTTTATTTTTTTATAGCACTTATGAACTCCCAATATGCTATAAAATTCACTTGATTGTAGTAGAAATAATAATAATTGTTATTATTATCGTCCTCTCCAACCTGTTTTCCTTGTTGAAATGCAAGTCTCATGAAGGCAGAGATTTTTTGTTCATAAAACCATGGCAGTTGTTTTCTGAAGGTAAGATTAAGAAAGTTAGGCTTTATTCTGGGATAGGAGAACTCTACTGAGTCAAGTAACAGCAAGGTCTACAAGAGATGGGGATCTCCATTGATGAGCAAAAGTCTCTCTAGGTGCTCCCAGGCACCCACACTCTCCAATACTTCCTAAAACTTTCTCTTATAAGGATACTTGTCATTGGACTGGATTGAGTCCAAGTGGGATTCATTTATAGGTTGTAAAAAGAAAGCAGACTGTTAGTGCTGAGTCCAAATTCTGGGCTTTGTAACTGAGCATCTAGGAAGTTTCCAAAAGGAGAGGGATGCAAGGAACAGCTCTGCCTGTGAAGGCGACCACACTCCTGGTTGTCCCAGAATGATCCCAGTTTACAGCTGTTGTCCTGTAGTTTATTAATAGTGCCCTTTTTCACTAGTACAAGTGAAAAAGGAAGTAGCATTAGAAACCGGGATCTGTGTGTGAAGGTCTTTCATGGGGGTGACATCACCACAGTTGGAAGGACTGGGTGACAGGGTTAAACTGAATGGAGGGGAGGAGGTTCTGGAGACCCAGTCCATAGTGCTGCAGGACAGAGCTGATTTCCAGCTCAGTGGATTCTCCACGTCTACCATGTAGACTTAAGGAGCTCTGGTAGCACAGTGGATACAAAGGGCTGCAAACCTTAAGGCTAGCAGTTCAAAACTACCAGCTGCTCCATGGGAGAAAGATGAGACATTCTGCTCCCGTAAAGATTTACAGCCTTGGAAACCCTGTACAGGGTCGCTATGGGTCAGAATCAACTCCACGGCACATAACAACAACAGCAACCATGTGGACTTAAGAATTGTATGTTGAGCTGAAATGTTGAACCTTTCATGTACCTATATATGCCAGACAGAATGGATAGTCCTTGTGACCAAGTGTAATAGAGAACCCAAAGTGATGGGCTAGGGGTCATTTCTTTACTCTGAACTTTGGGGGTCTGTGCCTGGGCAATACCCCCCAGGGTGGAGTGGTGGAAAAGAAAAAGGAGAGATGGTGATGAATGGTATATGGTCTTTGTTTTTGCAAACCGAAAATATGTTACAGTTCAGACAAATTATAAAATATAATCTCCATTTAAAAAAAAAAAAAAGTCAAGCAACACAGAAGCATACAAAATAGTGCAAAAAAGATCTTCAGCAATATCTTGCATCAAGAGAGGCGCCCTCTCTGTCTCCTTGAGGCGTCATCAAGTGGAGATAGGGTTGTAACTAGTCAAAGTATCCCTTCCACTGGGCTGGCTGGAATGGGCCCAGAAGTGAAGGCAGAGACACACCAGTTCACAGGCTCCAGAGCTAGAAAGGGATAAGGGCTAAAAAAGGAGGCAGAAGCCATGCTCATCAATCCCTTTACTCCTCAAGAAACTTCCTCCCTCTGGTCAATGGGTGCTGTTGTTGCTGGTAAGTGCTGTTGATTCAGTCCAACTCATAGTGACCTTGTATAGGGTTTCTGAGGAGTGCCTGGTGTGTTTGACCCATTGACCCTGGAGTTACAGTTTAGTGCTTATCCTACAGCACCACACCAGAAGAGAAGGGTAAAAACAGGCTTCTAGAGTTGGATCCTGAGTTAAAAGGCTAGAAGGGGCCAAAGGTATTCTGAGAGGACTAGCTTATGAGAAAGAGGGCCCTAAAAGCATTTCCTCTGGAGTGAGGGCCCCAGGAGAGATCCAGCAGTGCCCCGAGCATGCCACCTGAAGCTGTACCCCAAACCCAGGCAGCCCTCAGTACTGCAGGGAGAGGACTAATACTACTCCTCTCCTGCTTGGGGTCACCTCCAAGCCTACTGACCACAGGTGTCCTCCAGGGGTCTCTCTGGACTCAAGGTTAACAATACAACATGAAACCTAAGCACCACTTTTTGGCAGGAACCGAAAGGATTACCCAGGGTGACCTCATTCCGTATTTTATTTTGCATTTCAACAATTCTACAGGAAAAAAGGAACACAGAAAGCATTCTTCCTATAACTGGCATCATTCCACATTCTCACCTCATCACACACATTCCTTTACCTGCTGCACCCAGTGAGCACACACTATTTACACTTTATAGTATTTCTTGTGCCATAATTTTAGTGAGGTGATCTCCCCAAGAAATGTATTGTATAGCTTGCTGAACCAGTCACTTCTGCACAGACATTTGACTCATCCTTTTCCTTTTCACTGTCCTGGGGACAGTGGGATCTCTATGCCAACTGGCATGCAGAGTCTTTGGTAGTTCTTATAGTTAAACATTTATATCCTGCTCCATAGAAAACTTAAACCAATCATAATGGTTTTCCTATACTTCTGCAAGTACTAGATTACATATGCACACACAGACACACACACACACACACACACAAGGGGACTTAAAAAAACTCAAGGAAAAATTCCATTATTTTCAACCCCATTTTTCCACAAACTTTTGAGGCCCCTGCAAGTGTATGTATAAATATATATCTATGTCTATATCTAAATATATACATATAGATATATATATATAGAGAGAGATATATCATTAACCATGAACTCCTGGTGTGGCGCTGTAGGATCAACACTGGAGTTCAAACCACAAGGTCGACAGTTCAAACCCACCAGCTGCTCCTCAGAAACCCTATATAGGGTTGCTATGAATCAGAACCAACTCAACGGCACTTAACAACAACATAGATATATATATCATATGTGTAACAGATGTGTAGTCAATTTCATTTTACAGATAAGAAAACTGAGGACCAGAAAAATACAATCACTTTTCCCAGGGTCTCTCAGCCAGTGAATGGCAGCAGATTCCAGTCTAGTGGACACATCTTGTGACCCTCTATCAGTGCTCTGTCCACTAAACCACTCTGCTTCAGACAGTTGTATCTACACATAGACAGGACACTGTTATTGCTGCCCTTGTCTCTTGTCCATCAAGGAAAACAGAAACCCTGCCTTTCTCTTCGTGGCTCTTTCTTCTGTGTTGTGTTGACCAAATTTCTTAGCTTCGACTATGTCTTCTCCAAGCTCATTAGATCCAAGCCTTGAGGAGTTCCTCAGAAAACAGCACGGACATGGCACAGGCTTCCACTTCTTCCCTTCTGTAGCTGATTAACTTCTGGGGTGAATTACTTATTTTCTGAAAAATAATTTTCATGAATATTCATTAGATGCTAGTAGTAGTCATAGCAGTAGTTTTATTTTAAATCACAAATAGTTGATTAATTCATTTCCAAGTAGTTTTTTAAAAGCCCTGTAACAATTACAGTCCCTAGATTGTGGCCTTTGACATTTACTGAGGTCATCTTCCAGCTCACTCACTATTCTCTTGGGATCCTGATTGATCAGCACTCACCTTTCTAGAACCATGCTCACAAAAGACAAGTTTTAAACTTCTTCCACCAAAGAGCTCTGAAAATACCATCCTGGTCTGAGGCTCTATGTACATCGCCAAGCATGGTGCCCAATCCAGAGAGAGAGCTTTACTCCATAGATTGGAATTCTTTTTTATTCATATTTCATCTTCTCTCAGTGGCCCCAGTTCATTGTCATAATGTTGTAAACATGCAGACAGACATCAACTATTCAGAGGGACTCTGCCTCACTGCCAGCATGCTCATTTATACCAAGATGTTCTAGGTCTTCTACAATTGTCTCTCATGCCCCTTCCTGCCATCATTTCAAAGAGTGCCACATGGGCACAGACAAATTGCCACACTGACTTCTCTCCACCTCAATTCCCCAGGGACATCAGTTTCAGGACAAATATTCATGGGCAGACATACACACACACAGATAAGTCCAAAAGTATTGCTACAGAATCACAGAAATTATTATTAAGCAAAAATATCAAAATATGAAGAAGCTATTGTTTCTCAACATCTCCTCCATCTAGGTCTATGCACTTCTAAAGGTGGTGTTTTCCATCTCTCTAACCCTACCCTAAAGAATTGTCTAATGTTCCTTTTAAACGTCTTTTGAGTTTGGGGAGCAAAGAGAAATCTGAAGGAACTGTAGAAATCTGAAGATCAGGGTTGTAGGATGGATTTTGTTTCCCAATAAAATTCTCATGTGACACCCTATGCTAGCTACCCTTGAAGAATGAGCAGGTACGCTATCCTAATGGGAAAAAATTCCTTGGGGCCACTTTCCTGACCTTTTTCTCACTAATGCAGCTTTCAATTTTCTTTAAATTTCTTCCTAATAAGTCCCCATGAAATACAGGAAAAAAAAAAAAAATGTCACCATAACCTTCTGAGCTGACCTCTCTGCCTTGAAATTAAGTGGCCCAACAGTTCCCCTCAGATGCCAGAGTTTTGGAATTGTTTTTTTCTTTTTGAGGGCGCTCTAACAAGATGAAGACAAGTGTATTATTGAAAAAACTTGTCTACAGCCATCCACTGATCACAGAGACATATTTAAGCACATTTTGTTTGGCATAAATGCATGCATGTACTAGAGGGCTTCAAAATTTTGTGTAAAAGTTTTATTATCTTCTCATTCTGTTTTTTCAGTTTAGAAATTCCCTCTTATGAACTAGAACCCTTGTAACAATACTTTTTTACTCACCCTCATGTGTGTGCATGTGTGTGTGTGTGTGTGTATTCATATATATGTGCTGCTGTTTTTGTTGTTATGTGCTGCCCAGTTCATTCTGACTCATAGAATTCTATATACAACAGAACAAAAGGTAGCCCATCTTCACAACTGCTGCTATGTTTGAGTTCATTGCTGCAGCCACATTGTTGATCCATCTTGTTAAGATTCCTCCTCTTTTTCATTTACCCTCTACTTTATCAGCCTGATATCTTTCTTCAAGGACTGGTCCCTCCTGATAACATGTCCAAAGTACTTGAGACAAAGCCCCACCATCTTCCAAAAACAGATGTGATCATTCTTCTGGAAGTCCATGGTATATTCAATATTCCTCTCTAACATCATAATTAAAATGTATCAATTCTTTTCCAGTCTACCTGATTCATTATACAACTTTGCAAGCAAATAAAGTGACTAAAAATAGCATGGTTGGGTCAGTTTCTGCTTAGTCCCCAAAATGATATCTTTGCTTTTTAACACTTTAAAGAAATCTTTTGAAGGATATTTTCCCAATGCAATACATTATTTGAATTCTTGATAAACGCTTCCATGGGCATTGATTGTGGATCCAAGTAAAATGGTATCTGTGACAACTTCAATTTGTCTCCACTTATCATGATGTTGCTTATTGGTTCAGTTGTTAGGAATTTTCTTTTCTTTTTGTTGAGGTGCAACCCACACTGAAAACTGTATTCTTTGATCTTTATCAGGTAAAAGAAAGTGCTTCAAGTCCTCTTCACTTGCAGCAAGTAAGGTTGTGTCACCTGCATACTGTGGGTTGTTAATGTAGCCATTTGTTAAAATATCTCAATTGGCATCCCATCAATTCCTGGAATCTTATGTTTTGCTAATACCTTCAGTGCAACTTGGACTTCTTCATTCAATACCATCAGTTATTGATCATGTTACCTCTTGAAGTGGTTGTACACTGAACAATTCTTATTGGAATAGTGATTATGTATATCCCTTCCATATTCTTTTGATGCTTCCTGCAATGCTGAATATTTTGCCCATAGAATCCTTCAGTATTTCAACTTGAGACTTGATTTTTTTCATTTCTTTCAGCTTAAGAAATGCTAAGCATGTTCTTCTCAGTTGGTTTTCCAACTCCAGGTCTTTGCACATTTCATCATAATATTTTACGTTGTCTTCCCAAACTACTCTTTGAAATCTTCTGTTTAGTTCTTTTACTTCATTATTTCTTCCATTCACTTTAGCGCTTCTACATTCAATAACAAGTTTCACAGACTCTTCTGTTATTCATTTTGTTCTTTTCTATCTTTCATGTCTTTTTAGTACCTTTTACTTTCTTCTTCTATGATGTCCTTGATGTCATCCCACACCTCATCCAGTCTTTGAACTTTAGTTTTCAGTACATCAAACTACTCTTGAAATGGCCTTTAAATTCAGGTGAAAATATACTAAAGATTTTACTTTGGTTCTTGTGGATTTACTTTTGATTTTCTTCAGCTTCAATTTGAATGTGCATATGAGTAATTAATGATCTGTCCTAAGTGCAGTGCTTGGCCTTGTTCTGACTAATAATAATGAAGTTCTCCATAATCTCTTTCTGCAGGTGTAGTCAATTTGATTCCTGTATGTTCCAACCAGTGAGATCCACACAGAGTGCCATTTATGTTGTTGAAAAGAGCTATCTACAAAAATTAGGTGATTGGTCTTGTAAAATATCATGTGATCTCTGGTGTCATTTCTGTCACCAAGGTCATATTTTCCAATTACTGATCCTTCTCTGTTTCCAACTTTTGCATTCCAGTCACCAGTATTTATCAATACATTTTGATTGCATGTTTGATCAATTTCAGACTGCAGAAGTTGGTAAACATTTTTAAATTTATGTTTAGCATTGAACAATATATTTGGTGATATAAATTTGAAAAGAAAGAAATTCTTTATATTATCATAGTGTAAATATTACCAACTGTAAAGTTGTATCAACATAAAATGTTTAATCGATATAGATAAACACTTAAAAGTATGATAGGGTTTTTTGAAAAATTGTCAAGGATTTCCATTTGGTGATCTTTCCATGGTTTAATTTGGAAAGACACATGCATTTTGCAAGGATGGATGGAAATTGCTTTTTTAATAGTAGGAGGATTACCTATGTTGTTGTTGTTAAGTGTCGTTAAGTCGGTTCTGGCTCATAGCGACCCTCTGCACAACAGAATCAAATGCTATCTGGTCCTGAACCATCCTCACAGTTGTTGATATGCTTGCGTCCATTTCTGCTGCTACTGTGTCGATCCATCTCATTGGGGGTCTTCTATTTTTATGACCCTCCATGTTACCAGTTCTTTAGCTTCAAAAATACTGAGCATTTTCTTCTATTTTGGTTTTCTAACTCCAGGTCTTTGAATGTTTCTTTATAATACTTTACTTTGTCTTCTCTAGCTGCCTTTTGAAATTTCCTGTTCCACTCTTTAATTTCCTCATCTCTTTCATTCACTTTAGATTATCTATGCTCAAGAGCAAGTTCCAGTCTCTTCTGACATTCATTTTGGTTTTTCTCTCTTTCCTGACTTTTTTTTTTTTGCCTTCTTCCTGTATGGTGTTCTTGATATCATCCCACAACTCATCCAGTCTTCAGTCATTAAAGTCTAATGTATCAAATCTGTTCTTGAGATGGTCTAGAAATTCAGATGGGATATATTCAAGGTTGTATCTTGGCTCTCGTGGAACTCTCAATTTTCTTCAGCTTCAGCCTGAATTTTCATATAGGCAAGTGATGGTCAATTACACAGTCTGTCCCTGGCCTTGTTTTGGTTGGTCATATTGAGCTTTTCCATAGTCTCTTCCCACCAATTTAATTCCTTTGTAATCCATCTGGTGAAGCCCATGAATTCAGTTACCTTTTATGTTATTTTTTTAAAGTATTTGTAATGAATAAGTTGTTGGTTTTGCAAAATTCTATCATGTGATATCCAGGGTCATTTCTATCACCAAGACCATATCTTCCAACTACTGATCCTTTCTCTCTGTTTCAACCTTCTCATTCCAATCACCAGTAATTATCAATGCATCTTGATTGCATTCTTGATCAATTTCAGATTGAGGAAATTGAAAGAAATCTTCGATTTCATCATCATTGGTTTTAGTAGGTAGTGGGTAAATTTGAATAATAGTGGCATATGGATTGTAGGCGTATGAATATAATCCTATCATAGACAGCATTGTACTTCAAGACAGAACTTGAAATGTTCTTTTTGACAGTTAATGTGATGCCATTCCTCTTGAGTTTGTCATTCCTAGCATAGTAAACCATGTGATTTTCTGATTCAAAATATCCAATATCAGTCCATTTCAGTTCATTAATGCCTAGGACATTGGTCTTTTTTATTCCACCCAGCAAGGTCCACATATGTTTGCCATTTATGTTGTTGAAAAGAAGGTACTTGCAAAAAAATAGGTTATTAGTCTTGCAAAATGATATCATGTAATCTCTGATGTCATTTCTGTCACCAAGGCCATATTTTCCAACTACTGATTGCTCTTTGTTTCTAACTTTTGCATTCCCGTCAAAAG